CACTAATATTCCTTTTAATCACTGCAGGTAAGCTGAAAAAGCTTGTGTTAGGAGGTTCACGGTAGTCGTCGAATGGTGCATTCGATCCCACAACCTTTTGAGTACGTGGTTCGAACCCTGCCATTAAGCTACTGACACTTGAAATATAGAATAGTTAGGGTAAATATTTTATTCTAATTTATTATGTCATAAAAAATCTTGAAAAAAGAAACCGCAAATCTAAAATGCAATACTTCGCAAATAAAAAAACTATTTATGAAAATTGCTCAAACTTTTTGTTTCAAAACATTTACTCAAAAACACAAAATAACATTTTTCTCAAAAATTAAACAAAACTAATTTTAATCACCTTAATCACTGGCACTATTAATTGGTATATATACCAAATAAGACAAAGTAATTTTTACAATATAAAGAGAATATTCGAGCCCTCTTCAAAATCTCCACAAAAGCAGCTTAATTTTCTATATTTTATATTTTGAGTATTTGGCGTCCAAGCAACTTGATGAATAGACATGGTTTCTGGAACGGCAATCAGGTTTTTTGATATCGCTTCTAACATTTTTATTGACTTCGTCGTCACTCTATCTACATTTTGCTTACGGGTACTAGGCTACCAATCGAGAATCTTTCTTCCTCATCGGTTATTGGTTCTTCGGGATATATGGTCGGCCCGATGACACTTCAGCTCATGTTGTACTGTCAGTTAGTCAGTTTCTCTATAGCTCGCTGAGCGACCTTGAGCGTCCTCATACGACCAGCAGTGAAGGACCACGTCTCAGATCCGTAAGTCATCACTGGCCCTATCTATGTATATTCATTTATCAGCAAAAATTAATTCAATAGGGTAATCACACAAACTTTTATTATTTCCACGTCTTATGCAATTTAAAGTATTTTGGCAACATTATCTTATTTTCTTTATCTATAAATATTAATAAAATGAATGTTTGCCTGTAATACCGAAATAACTGGCTTCTATTGAGATCAGTTACGCTTTTATAATATATAAATTCCTAATACATTATGTAATATCGAAATATTTAAATAAAAATATGTAACAGGGTAAAATTGCGGTCGCGGTTATTCGCCGAATAAAGCGGACTTTACAAATGATTCTCAAAAGCTGAAAGCTTCGTTAGCTTGCTATTCACAACTTTTCACGAAATTTCACGTTTCTCGACCGAATGAATTCAGTGAATTAACCTTGTAAAACAAGTTACAACAAGGAAAGCCAAGCGACGATAAAATTTGAATTATTATACCATAATAAACAAGTAAGCAAAAACAAATAGAAACGACAAAATACAATACAAAAAGATTTACATTATTAATAAATAAATAATCTCCGTTAAGGGGAAATATAATGTCAAATGGCTTAGCAAGATCCTTCGTTATGCCGAAAATATTGCAGCATTAATTTTGAAATAAATATATGGTAAAGTTGAGGATTAATGTTAATGATTATGTTAGACGAAAACACGATTTCGTAAAATTTTCTCGATAGAAAAAAAATCCAAAGTTACCTCCAAAATAAACAATAAACCGCTGTTATTCATAAAATACTTAAAATAAGATCATGAAACTTTGCATACTAACTGAACTAACTATAAAGCAGTGCATGTTATTTACTTTTTTTTTAAATACCATTATTTTCACTGTAAAAAGAAATTACCTAAACTATCGGCGTCTTGAGCTTGATTCCTGTCGCCCGTTAGTATCGCTTAGGTTTTTTGAAGGGAGAACTTGTGTCGCTTACGATCAGAATATACATTACGCAACAGTACGACGTAAAATTAAAATGGGAAATAACCGTGATAAAAATAAGAAGCGGCTGGCTTGGCGTTAAGAAACAGGCATAAATATGATAAACCTAATGAAATAAGTGTCTAACGACCTTTCTACTTACAGTATTAGTGATTACAAACGAAGGGAAGTGGGGGCGAAATTAGAATTTGAGCTGACTTACTCTATCCTCTTAAACGTAACCAATTTAACGACGGCTAGTTAAAGGCTCTAAAAAATTTATACATACTGGGTATCCTATCCCGTTTGGTCGTGGACTGTATGTGGAAATGGGAGAGATCTTCCATCGGGCTAGATGTTCTGGAAAGCTTTTAACTCTTTATGGTAAAACTGCATCTGTGAGGTAGCCTAGTACTTGTAAGCGAAGTGTAGAGTGGTTCTCCACTAGATAGAATGACGACTTGGTAAGATATGCAGGTGGCTCAAGACCGGCCTTTGTGCCATTCCTCAGCGAAGGTCTTTGTTCAGCTGTTCACTTGCGAAGGTCTGTAATGATGATGTATATTAATGATAATGATTATTTAATTAAAATTTATTTTGAGAAATATAAATAAGGAAGAGTCTATTCATATGGTAATCAGGATAATTTTTTCTTATACCATTATTATGAATTACATGATAAGTATGAATAATTATTTTTTTAATTATACGATTATCGCCTGATTAGCAACAACATATAAATGAAGTTTAAATAATAATCAAGTTATGTTATGTTATTTATTTAAAAGTTATTTTGAGTATCTTTTATACAAAATTGTTAATACGTTTGCCCTTGGAACAAAAATCCACCTGATGGTAATTTGCTTCTGCAGTCCATACACCTGCAATCCACTACAAACAAAAGAGACAAACGCGTCGTCATCCCCAGTATTACGAGATTAAAGGCGTCACAGCCTGTTATTATGCTAGCAAATTTAACCTTAATTCTGAATCGGATCAGAGAGTTCTCTAATGCTGTGCAGCAACAATATCTAACAGGGTGCTGTCCATCCAGACAGAGTCCTAAGGTCCTATGTGCGACACCTCCACCACCATTGCACTGCTTTGTTCCGGTCTAAGATCTAGGGTTTAAGGCGTTCCATCTTAGTCCTCAGAGCTTTTTAATATCCTTCTTTGTTAGAAGTTGGTTGCAGGTGTCCACTTACTACCAGGTGGATAGTATGTTTCTTTGTCGCTTTAGTTTTATATAATACAGGACTGTTAAACTGTAATAACTGTACACCATTTTAACTGTCTTCTGTGAAATAACAGTTACTAATTCTGAACATGACTGACTAAATTATTATTTTAATTTTATTCGTGCTAGAGTCACACTGCAGCTATATTATGGTTGTAGCACGAATGGCGGCTCGACCGGGGAAGGAACACGCTCTCACAGATTACCAGCGTAAAATAGCAGCTTAACGCTGCTGTGTTTCGTATGGTGTGTGTAGAGATCCTTTTTTACTGGAAACGAGGCATTCCATTTTAGTCCTCGTGTTGACGACGCATCTGGATTTTGATTCTTAATAGAGGATAAATGTAGATGTCTATGGGCCACAGCATCCACTTACCATCAGGTGCACTGTGTGCTCGTTTATCACTCTTATTATATAAAATGTAGTGTAGTCGCGGTGTATCAATATCTACTGACTGGCCCATATCGTCCCGTGGATGACGTACGAGGGCGGCACTGAAAATTTCGGGAATCAAGGAAGTGACACAATATTACTATTTAAAAATGTATTTATTGCTTTTTGAAGTATTCTCCGCGAAATGTGACATATTTTTCCATACGATTGAACCAATCATTGAAGCAACCATTCCATTCCGAAGTTTGCGTCTCCAAAATGGCCGTTTTGTAGGCGGCTACAGCTTCTTCAGGTGATGAAAATCTCTGTCCACGCAATTTATCCTTTATTTTAGGGAAAGTATAGAAATCATTAGGGCTTAGGTCGGGGCTGTACGGCGGATGGTCTGATAATTCTATGTTTTTTTGCTCTAAAAACTCTTTTGTTCTGTGTGCGGTGTGAGAACTCGCATTATCGTGATGGAGGATAATGCGGCGGTTGCAGTTCTCTTTACGGAGTTCAGAAACGACTTGTGGCAAACAAATGCTAGCATAACATTCTGCATTAACCGTTCTTTGTCCCTCAAGAGGAATAGTCGTAACAAAGTCGGTTTTGGAGACAAACGTGGCCACCATTTTTTTGCAACACTCCGTGAACGAACAATTTTTATTGGCTTTAACTCATTTTCGAACACCCAAACTCGTGACTGGTTTTTTGTTTCGGGTTCGTACGCGTATATCCAGGATTCGTCACCTGATACGATGTTGTATACAGCATTTGAGGATCCTGCGTGGAATCTTTCGAGAGTTCTGACGCACCAAGTAACGCGAGCCGCTTTTTGCTCTTCACAGAGCGAATGCGGTATCCATCGGGAAAACAACTTTTTTACACCTAATTGTTCATGCAAGATTATTTGTATTTGACTCATGGCAATGTCTAAAGTTGCCTGAATTTCGCGGTATGTCATATGTCGATCTTCCTCAATCAGCTTACGCACAGCATCAACGTTTTCTTGGGTGACTGCAGTTTTTGGACGACCTTGACGGGGATCATCACTGAGCTTGACACGTCCACGTTGAAATTCAGCAAACCAGCGGTAAATTGTGGTTTTGGATGGGGCTTCATCACCAAATGCAGAAATCATCCGGTCAACACACTGTTTTTGTGTTAAACCACTTCGAAAGTCATAATAAATCAGCGCTCTTCAATTTTCTCGAGTCAATTCCATTTACTCAACGACTAAACAAGTTTGATAAAACCTTGTGACAAGACCGAGAATCTTTTTTAAAATAAATAAATGGTATTCGATTTTTAAAGCCAAAGAGTTTTCAATTAAAAAGATTTTAATATGACAGGAACAGTGGAAATATTCCATTCCCGATACTTTTAGTGCAGCCTAGTAAGAGGCGACAGAAGGAAACTGAAGCAGGAGATGGGCAGCAGCATCTTAATAACAACTCAAAATCATAAAAAAACTGCGGTTGCCAATACTGCCCAAGCGTGACATGACAAAATCTCCCCTAAGCAGCAATATGTGGGGAAGCAGTCCGAGCAGTGGCTCAACATAGGTCACTGACAAACTGCCAACGTCCACTGACGTTTATAAGCTGTAATGGTAATGACAATAAGTACTTACTTCCTTAGGTGTGCGAGCTGGTGGGCGGCTACCTAGCGGGCAGCCTGTCTGTGATGTCGGACGCTGCGCACATGCTCAGCGACTGCGGGGGCTTCGCTCTCGCGCTTTTCGCCTTCCGATGCGCACGACGACCGCCCGATGCGTCCATGTCTTACGGTTACCGGCGGGCTGGTTGGTATATATCTCTCAGAATAGCAACTTCAATAATCACTCATTTTTATATGTAGATGATCAGCTGACGTCTGGATACATTCAATGTGAACTTTTTAAATCGACTGTTCAATAAATTTGACTGCATCGTTTGTCTGTTGATCAAGGAATCCAGGGGTCTAATACTAGATGTGAAATTTTATTAAAGAGTTGGTATAGTTCTTGCAATTCACGAGTGCGGTCGGCCTTTGGATTTGGTTCGACATGTACATGCACAATGTGACAGTGTGCGTGCCTGGCCGAGCGATCAGTCGCGAAGGCACGCCCGCGGAAAGCACGTAAAGCCGTTAAACCTGCTCCTGATCTCTCTCCGGTCATGTCTGTTTGCCGTCCTATCGGATATTGGATCAATAGAGAGTGTGCTTGCGCATACGCTTGGGCACTCTAGTCCTGTCCCGCTCCGTATTTCCGTTGGGACTAGCCGTCGTGACTGAAATCATAATTGTAATCTTGTCTGACTGAAGCGAGTGAGCCAAATAAGATGGCGTCTAGAATAATGTTGCCAGAGCAAAAAATATTGCTTAGGTAAGTATTAATTTGTAAATATCGGATTTCCCCCACTTCTGTCATAACCCCAAACCACTATAATATGTCTTTATGGATAGTGACATATAGTTATATAGTTTTAAAAGTGTAGGGTGTCCCACCACTAGATGGAGTGACGTCCTGGTTAGTGGTGCCGGAAATCGATGAATGCAGGTGTCTCAGAACCAAGCTTTGTGGACATTTATACTGGGAGGTCTGTGTTCAGGAGTAGACTTGTGATGGGCTGGAATGGTGATGATGAGAATGTGAATATAATTTAAAAAATATTCTCAAAATTTTGTTATTTCAGTTATTTAATGTACTCTTGGTCCTTTTTCAATCGCGGCGACAGCTCAAAAATTCGGCCAGAGTCAGACATAGAACTACAACCACAGTACAAACATTCAAACATAGAAATAGTTCATTGCAGTGGCGCTGTAAGAATATCCGCAACCCGATACCATCCCGTGGGTGTCTTAACAGGCGACGGAAGGAAACAAATCAAGAGATTTTTACGTGGTAGAGCCATGCTGCAGTTATATTAGTAGTATAGTTGTAGCACGTATGGGTCGGCTCGACCGGGGAGGGACCACACTCTCACAGAATACCAGCGTGAAATAGTAGCTTAATGCTGCTGTATTTCTTATGGTGAGTGTAGAGAACCGGAGACCCTTTTTACTGGAAACGAGGCATTCCATCTCAGTCCTCACGGGTGACAACGCATCTGCATTTTGATTTTTAATCGAGGATAGATGTAGATGTCTATGGGCCGCAGCAACCACTTACCATCAGGTGGACTGCGTGCTCGTTTGTCACCCTATCTATAAAAAAAAAGATTGGCAGCAGCTCCTTCCCTAATAACGACTAAAAAAAAAAATCGGTCCCCAACCCACTTGCTAAGCGTGGCGACTAATCTATGGAGACGCCTGGAGGGGTCTATGTTCAGATGTGGATATATTTATTTAATAGGCTATAACTGTATAACATATATGTTAATGTAACGTATATGTTATTGAGTTTTTCCGTCAAGAAATTCTCAGTAGTTCCCCGGAGTCAGGAAATTGGCGGTGTCTGGCACCGGGTGCCTCGGAAAGCACGTAAAGCCATTGGTCCTGCGCCTGACCTCTCTCCGGTCGTGTCGATTTATCGTCCCCTCGGATTAGGAGAGTGAGGTAATAGAGTGCACCTGTGCTTGCGCATACACTTGGGCACTGTAATCCTGTCCTGCGCCAATGGTTAGCCTCCGTTGCGACAGGCCGTCGTGGCCGGATTTCGGTCTGGAGGACATTATTATGTAAATGTATAACGGCAATAATGGGGATTTGTTTTGTACAGAGGTGCTGGGAGCAATGGCGTCAGTATTACTCATTTGGGCACTTACCGGCATTTTCGTGTACGTGGCTGCCCTGCGCGTTCGCACCGGCGAGTACAGCATCGAGCCGGACATCATGATGATAGTGTCCGGGTGCGGAGTGGGGTTCAACGTGGTGCTGGCGTTGGTGCTGCACGGGTGCGCCTCTGGTATAGGTAAGTAATCATGAGTGGGGCAGAAGAGGGTGAGAGAGAGAGAGAGAGAGACCTGTTTTCAAGAAAATAAAGGTACTAATAGTCGTCCAGTGGGCGAAGTTTGATTTATATATTAAGCGAGCTCTATTTCGCTTTCAACTCTGTATATACTTCTTATTCGGTATATTTATGTTTTCAACTGTAAATGCAAAATAAACGCTTTTTTTATCTTCACATGCACAATACAAAATTCACAGCTTATTCAGTCAACCTGTCCGTAATTATTTTGCTGGTGACATTTTAAAAGTCCATTGCGACAATCAATACTCCGTGCGATTGTTTAACTATACACTATTTATTATGTGTTAGACAATTTGAATCGGCAGTATGAAATATTGGCAATGTTTTATTTTAATTTATATAGTATTGATGTTACGCATATTATTCGGGGTTATTTTGCAATAATCGGTTAAATTTGCAGAGAAAGTTAAGAATAAGTAATATAGGCAAATGGTGAGGAAAAATTAAATAAAAAATTTCAAACATTCTGTCCTTTTTATCTTTTAAATTTAAAATGCGCGGTAATCATATATTTTAACTGATTTCGTAAGGGTCGATCGGTAGGCAAAAACGTTGTTGCCAAAAATCCTTCGATCAGTATATAATTGATCGAAGCAGAAATCACATTCAATTTGGGATAATTTTAAATAAAACTGCAAGCCTTATTTACTAGTATTTTCAAAAACTGCAAAAATGGTATATCATTATTTATATAAATTTAAGCTTTATGTGCTCCTTCTCCATATAAACTTTACTATACCAAATCACACACTCCGCTGTGCGCGCAATATGCTTTAAAAGGAGTACTAAGTTTTCCCTTCATGTATTAATATATAAAATTATACTTCTATTAGCAGATTTTTTTTAATTTAGAATACGGGTGACAACCCTAGCGGAGGGAAGGGAGTTATTATTTTTTATTAATTTACAATTAGTTTTGAGACTTAATATGATATTATCGTGTCGTAGCCCACCACCATTCCCACGGGGGCGCAGCGTGCGCACACACACACGCACCGGAGTCCCGCTCCCCACGTGTGGGCTTTCGATTGTTTCGACGCACTGCGAATAAGCACCCCAACGGCCTCGTGAACGGAGACTACAGCTTGAAGGACATGGCGAGTGCGGAAGCTGACGTCATTACATCTAGAACTAGGTGGGTAGTTATAAATTATAATTTACGAAAACGAACATATTATGAAATCTTAACTAGACTGTACTAATACTGTTCATTACGTGGCAGAGTCTTTACTGCTGCTATATTATAAATATAGCTGCTACATGAATGGGTCGCCTCGACCGGGGAATCAGCTTTATGCTGCTGTATTTCGTATCGAGTGTGCCTCGTCAACTTTTCCACTCGCACAGGACCATAATATAAAAAATGTTTAAATGATAAGAAGCATTTTTTAAATTTTATTAAATGGCAAAATATAAATAAGTTATTGTTAAAAACACATTTTTAATGTGTCTTTATTATATTTGTATGCTGAGTTTATTAGATAAACACAAAAAGTTTTTTTTAAATCATTACATATTAAATTAATACTATATTATAGTTCGCCTATTGATTACATTAAAAAAAACGCATTTTTAAATTTCAATTTCTTCTTAAATATGGCTCTGTGCGAACGCGAATAGTCTCAAATGGGATAGCCCTTATAATTAAAAAAAAAAACAGTAAAACAAAATTCTGTGATAAATGGTAAAAATTACGGTATCTGTACTAATTGTAAACTGTAAACACATATTTGTTAAATTCGTTATATTTCTTTTATGAATAACCTACTTTGATTAGTACTGTTTTTTGTAAGCACATTATTTTGTTAAAGGCTTTAATTCTACTGTGTTGTGTTATTTTGGTGTTTAGTTTCGCAAACATGCATAGTCTAAGATTCGTTTTTGATTATTTAATCTTAATTTCATGAAAATAAGTAATTGATAATATTTTAAAATGGATTTTACTTAAACCTTTTTCCAAGTGAACATTGACCTTTATATTATTCCAGTACGTTATTGTGTTATCGTGTGTTATATCTTCCAGTGCGTTATTTGCACTTTTTTACGATCTTACGCATACAGGGTTATTTTGCAATAACTGGCCAAATTTGCAGTGAAGGTTCAGAATAGGTAATATAGGCAAATGGTCAAGAAAAATTAATTAAAAAATCTCATTCTGTCCTTTTTACCTTTTAAATTCAAAATGCGCGGTAATGCATTATTTTAATTGATTTTACTGCGTACGCACACATACGTAAGGGTCGATCGGTGGGCAAAAACGTCGTCCATAATTCATATTCAATTTGGAATAATTTAAAATAAAAGTAGAAGCCGTATTTATTTATATTTTCAAAAACTGCAATAACGGTATATCATTATTTATATATTTGAACTTAAGTTTAAAATTTGGCTACTCTTTAAAAAAATAACCCTGTATAAGAAATCTTCACTGGTTATTTTGCTCTTTGCTTACTTAAGTTACTCTTCTTTATTCTTTCTTTACTTTTGACAACGCAAAGCTGATAGTAATCTATTTTTTTTAATTTATTTCATGTACACACATCAAGATACAGAAGCAATCTTATAGTAATTTCGTAGAAAGGTTCTACTTATTCCATAATTTGCTGAAATATCTTCCAGTAGACCCATAAAGGAATTTATATTGAAATTGCAAACTTAGTACATACATCTAATACAATCATACAATCTAAAGAATAATATAATATTAATAATAATAAATCTAAAGAATAATATAATAGAAAATTAAAATACAATCTAAGTATGATTTGTTCCAGAAATATAAACTTGCGGGCAGCGCTCATCCACGTGATCGGTGATCTCATACAAAGCTGCGGCGTGCTGCTCGCTTCGGTGCTTATTAAGTTCTATGTACGTGTTTTACAAATTATAATTACTCTATGAAGATTCGTTGTTGTGACATTCATTTATTAAAATGTAATAGATTACTTCCCACAACAACTTTTGTACCAAATATTATGTGGGCCTAAATAAAATGTAATGAAATAATAATGTTTGTGGAATTGCTTTGTGAACGTGTGGCAAATGATGCATTCGCATTCCGGGTTGACTTACGATTCGGTCTATGAGCCCGCCTGCACTAAAATAGTAAGTTAATTTATGGACAACAAATGTATGAAGACACTGCGGTAAGTAGTCGTGTTCCCGCCTCGCCGCATATATTATTATTCGATTGATTGCGGAGTTTTGAAGCTTTAGTGGAGTGCCTCAAGTATTCGCCAAACGGAGGAATTTGGAGATTCGGTAAGTGTTTTGCGTTTTTGTTATCACTTTCATAAGGCATTTTCCACAGGCATTCCGCATTGTATTTACAATTATTTTATAATTACCATTTTATATTTCATTATTCCGCATATATCAAATCAACAGCCCTTTTGCTCTTTTGAAACCACATATTCTAATACTTCTCAATTTGAAGACACCGTTAGGCTTAGCACGCACTGCGATTAAACGCACGTGTTTAACCGCACGTCTGAAACCGCAAAAAATGTGGCACATAGCTTGCTATACAAGCGCACGCATTAGCGACTTTTTTCAGTGACTGATTTTAAAAACGTTACTTGCTATATTTGGATCGCGGTTTGTAAGCGAGCGATATTTGTGTTTCATTTTAATAGTATGGCGGCGCACGCACAGCACCAGGCGAGCGCAGAGGACGGTCGTTTTTTGACTATTCGAGAGTCGAGACTAAATAAAAAATCGAACGCGGTTAACCGGTATGCGTGCGCCGCCATACTATTACTACGGGACACACAAAGGTCACGCGCTTACAAACCGCGATCTAAGGCTTAGCACGCACTGCGATTAAACGCACGCGTTTAACCGCACATCTGAAACCGCAAATAAAAGTAACATATTGGGTGCGTTTGGCAGAAAAAAGCGCTAGCAAACGCTTGTAAGCAAAATGGAGATCGTAAGCGGTAAGCGCTGTCAAATAGTAAGTAGCTATTTTCCTCCAGGACACGATGTTAGTTTTAACCGGGGAACCTAACCTAATTTAAATATATGTTTGTAAAGTATTCATATTAAAAACTTACCAATCATGAATTTTTAATAACATGTATATGTTTATTCATATCATTATATTACTTAAAACTAATATTGCGCAAAACAACTTATAAACTCTACTTCAAAACAAACAAATTAAATAAGCAAAATGGCGGATTGTGTCAGCGCTACTGAAGTAGCAATCGTGTCCTTGCCGAAAACTATTTCAGCGCTTATAAGCGCTTACTAGCGCTTTTTTCTGCCAAACGCACCCATTATAGGTTTCTATACAAGCGCACGCATTAGCGACTTTTTTCAGTGACTGATTTTAAAAACGTAACTTGCTACATTTCCATTGCGGTTTTTAAACGCGCGATTTTTATATGTCCCGTAGTAACAGTATGGCGGCGCACGCACAGCGGTTAACCGCGTTCGGTTTTTATTCTACTCTTCAGATGATATCTTCGACCGAAATGCAGTGTTTTTATGTTGTAGATACTGGCCCACAGCTTGTAATAATTTATCAAAAGTACCAATCGACATTCTGTGGTAATTAAAAAACTTATCGGGGTGTTGTCGCACGTCGTTGTACATTTTGCAAAAGTATCCTTTCAGATGTCTTTGATCTGTTAGTGGATGAAAAATGAAATGAATGAAAATGAAAATACTTTATTTAACAGTTAGCACCTTTACACATAATTTAGCAGCGGTTCTCACACTAGGCACGTAGGCCTGTATCGTGAGAGCCATATACACATATTAACAAAAAACAGAGATTTGTGCACGGCTGACTTTACAAAGTTTTACCTTTAAACATCTACTCCAATTTATTTATGGTCTATAAATATAAACACATACTTAAACATATATACACAACATACATACATACATACATATACATACAACATATATAAATATCATATATATATATATATATATATATATATATATATATATATATATATACATCACATATACATACATACACACACATAAATATTATAATTTGTTAATATTGCAGTATTTTAAATTTGCAATACTGCTATAATAACAATATTAACATCAATATTGGGCACGTAGCTACTATGACAATGTTTGAAACAGCTTTTCTGTTTGCTCATAACTAAGCGTAAGCAACCAATTTCGTATTTTTATTCTAGCTGTGTTCGTCGAGCAATCTCTTATGTCGCATGCCTTCATAACTTTATTATAAATTAGTGTTTCAATGAATGGACTAAATCGTTTTGCGAAAGCTGTGCGAATGCTTGGTAATGGAATTTGAAATACACGTTTTTTCATCAGGTCACTGTATTTATGTGAGCTTAATATTTTTCTATGAACACATGTAGCCACACATAAGACAAATATCTGCCGAACTGTTAGTACTTTAATATCACTGTACAGTTTAGCTGTTGGATACCTGTATTTCTTGTTAAGCATAACTTTCAGGACCGAACGTTGAGCTCTCTCAATTTTTATCATGACTGTTTTGGAAGCGCTTCCCCAGCAAGAAATACAATACGTTGGATGTATCCAGTACTTATGGCAGCGCCGTTGTTTACGTTTTCTATTTTAATTTAAATGTCAAAGCGCCTACACATGCTACTTGCTCGAAATCCATGGTGGTACTGAAATAAAATTAAGCAAAACTACAGTCGCAGTGCGTGATGGTATGCGGTTTTGCGTTTTCAGCTATTCCTAAACCGCTCGCGTTTAATCGCAGTGCGTGCTAAGCCTAAATGTAGCAAGTTACGTTTTTAAAATCAGTCACTGAAAAATGTAGATCCGATTTTGAAGATCCTTTTTTTATTATATAGTTTATACTTCAGGATTAGTCCCTTGAAAAATCCACTACAGATCGTAATTGTATCCTGCGGTGTTTGAACACGTGCAGTCATCTTTAAACAGAGAAGGCTACACGTGGGTTATTATCTCCATCTAAGGACTAAGATGGAAAGCCCCACGGCCTGTAATTTTATTGACTCTGTACACTTCAGACAGGAACAGCAGTACAATCACTAGTACAGTGTACCTACTTAAACTAGGTATTCAAGGAGTCCTTCCACCTAACATATAGTCACTATATTTTTTGAAAATATTTAGATGTTGTTTTGGAATTTCAGCCAGAAGCAAAGGTGGTGGACCCAATCTGTACATTCGTGTTTAGCGTGCTAGTTCTGCTGACGTCGGCACGCGTTGTCCGGGATGCACTTTCAATGTTAATGCAAGCAGTCCCCAAGGATTTCAGGTACACAAATATATCTCCTCTCCTCTTTTTACCATCAGTCAAGTGTAATGTCCCTCTGAAAGATGCAGGAATGTACAAGCTTGATTGTGAATGTGGTCTCTCCTACATAAGACAAACTAAAAGATCTATTAAAACCCGCGTTAAAGAACATATAGCTGATGTGAAGAATCAACGCTTCGGGAAGTCTGCAGTCTGTGAACACGTACAGGATCGCCCCCGTCACTACATCAGATTTGATAGACCATAAATCCTCGCTAAAGAACACCGATTCCTTCCAAGGATGATTCGCGAGGCTATTGAAATCAAAAAACATCCTAATTTCAATAGAGAAAATGGCTGGGTGCTACCATCTGCTTGGGATCCTATAATAAATAAAATTAAATCCCAACCCAAGCATACAACTGCAAGACTTCAAGATACCATAAGTTCATACTGTGTAGATCGGAACAAAAGTTAAATTTTAATCTATGGTAACCGCGGTTAGCTATTACATGGGTTGAACTTCCGGTGACAGTGTTAAAGCGTTCGAAACGTCGGGTATTTAAAAAGTTAAATATACGCGATAAATTCCGTAAAAACTAGTATTATTTCAATGTGTAGTGTTCGCGTAAATATAAGAAATCATTATATCTCCTCTCCGTTACCGTTACAGTCTCTTCGGTTAATAAGAGGGTTGATCTTTGTTTTATTTTCCCGGATGGGTTCCCAAGAGATTTAAATTTATGTACTATAATTTTAAATTTTTATCGTGTAGGTATCGTGAATGTGTGGCCGCCATGTCGGCTGTGAATGGTGTACGGCACGTGCACTCGCTGCACGTGTGGGCGCTTTCCACGCACCACATCGTGCTCACAGCGCACATCGCCATAGGTCAGCTAAGTTTTATAATAAGTGTGTAGGGTTAAACAATGTAATCAATCGTATCAAAGAAATAAAATTATATTTTCCTTAAATACATTTTATACATTTTCGCTTTCTTTTAATAATAATTTTATTAAATCCCTCTTAGGAACCTCAAAAAGCGTTTGAGCCTGTCGGTCATATCTGCTTGTTAAATAAAACTGCATAATTTAGAAATCTCAAATATTTTAATACAATGTGTTATGCGTTATAAGGTATAATTTAAAAATAAGATGTCGTGTTAGGTGGAAAATGCCTAAATTATTTTGAGGTTTCTACAAGTGTTCCGCAAGGAACTATCATGGGACCATATATTTATGCCTTTCTTACCAAGGACCAAATACAGAGGATGCCTAACAGGTACAGCTTTGCACACCTGATTTTCACCATATTCTATTTATCAGTGTTTTTGAAGATTTGAAAAAAAAAACTGTAAACGAACCTGGTTGATTTTTGGATGGATTAACAATCAAAATACAGATACGTTGTCATCGTTGAGAATTAAGATGGAATACCTCGTTACCAGTGAAAATTGTCTCTGGTTCTCTACACTTGTCATACGAAACACTCCAGCAATTATTGTATAGTCCACTGTATTGCAGTCTTATAGGCACTGAAAATTGTAATTATCCACCCAACACCCAATAAGCCTACACTAAACTGTTTTTACCTGTACATGAAAATATGTTATTGTGTTTATACCGACGAAAGTATTCATAAATGCTTAATTTTTTTTAATTTATTAAAAAGGCACACAGATTGAAGATAATACATAACACATTTACAGTTACAAAAAAAAAACTAGTCTATAATACAATAAAGCGTGCACAAAAAAACTAAACATGACAACAAGTATTAAAAAATAAATAATACATACTATGAGTGACAGCAGACAAAAAAAGGAACTTATTTGATGATATTCGTGAAATTTACATATTTAACGTAGCAATTACAGATCTTTTAAATTGTGAAATGTGAAATTAAAAATGTCCAGATCAGCGTTATGGTGTCTCAGCTCGTCAATATTTCGATACATTCTAATCTAACCGGTTCAAAGAAAAACGTGTTGTTTCTGTAAACTTCAAGGCGAAAGATACGCGGCTTAAAATAAATACGTATTTTAAATTAATTACACAATTGCGGATGGGATAAAATTTAACGAGGACGGACCACTTTCAATTCTTTACAGATGATCTGTCAGAAGCGGAGCGAGTGCTACACGCATGTCAGCGATTAGCACGCGAGCAATTTTTAGTGCAGTCTGCCACGTTCCAAGTGGAGCGATACTCCGGTGCCATAACCACCTGTAGGGACTGTCGCCAGCCGGCAGCCGCGCCCTGACGCCCCACTACGCTCTCGCGATAGTGCGCGGGTGAGTGCACTAAACACGCACACACATACTCACGTACACACACACACGTACATACACGCAAACATGTACACACAGTCCACACACACACACACACACACACACACACACACACACACACACACACACACACACACACACACACACACATACACACACACGCACGCACGCACGCGCGCGCACACGCACGCACGCACGCACGCACGCCCACACACACACACACACACACACACACACGCACACGCGCGCACACACACACGCACACACGCACATACACACACACACACACACACACACACACACACACACACAGCACACGCACTCGCACGCACGACACGCCGAACACACGCACGCGCGCGCGCGCACACACGTATACGCATACACACGTATACACAAGCACACACGTACAGTGAAATATGTTTATTTTATTATTATTCATGTTTATTTTAATTTATTAAGATTCAACCTTTAAATAGCGAAGTATCAAAATATTAAAAGCTTTATAGTTTTGTCAAACAGACATGTTTGTAAAGGTACCAATATGAAACATATTTTACACCCATATAATTTCCTACATGCAATGTATTGATTGTTCAACCTCTAATACACATAAACATTCTTATTTCTAACACACTTATTAAGCAATATTTGCAACGAACAAGTCACACATAGCTCTAAATTCCTACCAAATACAAAGGTGTGCCACAGGGTACAATTCTTGGTCCTTTATTTTCTATATTAATGACCTTTCATTGGCAATCGATCAACATTGTACTGTATTATGTGCCGACAATATAAATAAATTTATTTTTCAGGTTAATGAAAATCCTAAATAGACAAGCATGAAATGCTAAATTTGGACGTTTTTTAAAAGTCGTTGAAAGTGAGGAGAAATTAAACGTGCACGCGACTGAGATTGTAACAAAATCAATTTTAAAGGACAGATGGATTAAGACGCTAAGAAAAGTAATATGATTTGACTATGACGGCTAATTATGAACACCTTAAAACAAAAAATATACTTCAAATAGCCTCTGTTTAATTTATTGACTTAAATGAATAATAATATGTACGATCCTAAGTCATGTTTCAGCTTCAATCTTCACTTACGGTATAATTTAGCAAGATACTTTTAATATTTAAAAATCTAAAAAGCTGAATTTGCTATATTATATTTATTAGATTAAAATGCTTAAATGCGACATATTAGATTCCAAAAATGAAGTATTACTTAGTATAAGATAGGAAAATGACATTAAACGTAGTAATTAAATTTCAATAGGCTCAAATGATAACCTGGTATCAAGTGTAAATAGATGCGAATATTATGTTATATTTAATTAAAATATGTTTTGATATATACATATAAAGAACGTTTGATGAAATGAAGTAGCTTTTGAATTATATTTTTGTATATAAATGACAAACAAACAAAAGCAAATAAAAGCAGAAAGTTCGAACGAGAAATAAAAATTAATTAAACGTTCTAATGATTTTAAATTTTTTTTGTGGCTACAGCAAAATATTTTAAATTAGTATTTTTAGATTTAAATATATTCGCGTAATTGTGCAATATATAAAACTCAAACCAAATATTTAAGTACAATGTTGTTATGTTTACGATTTTTACCAAGTTTAACGATATAAATAATGTGGATATGCACATGAATATGTAGTTTATAAGAAAATGATAAGAATTCCTTAGTTGCGCACGAAATGAAATGAATTTCAGCAATGTCATCGGACTGCTCATAGTTATTATTGTGTTATTAATTTACATATTATTTTAGGATATTGCACAGTCTACCGCAAAACCGACGTTCGCATGCTGTCCGAAAATAAAAATGTCCGTTTATTTATTTTATGGAAAACAACGCCCTAAGAGGCAACAATGGGAATTGAGATGATCTTGAATTAATATCACGTGCAATATTTTATATTATTATTTATGTTAATGTCAACGTCAATTTTAAATGACAACACTGTATAACGAATTTTATAGAACATTTAAATCAACGGGTATATCTACATTATTTATTGTATCACCTAGTAGTATAATGTATTATTTTGCTCAAATTTATGTTAAAAACGTGTAAAATATGTAATAATTATAAAAATATTAGTGGTAGGTGTTAAATTAGTGCCAAGGGTAAAAAAGAATCAGTATTTATAACTAAGAGCTTGCAAGTCTGTTATACATTGTAAGGAATTATTTATATATTTTACAATTAACATGTTACATTTCAACAATGACTCCATAAGCCGTTTAGTTATATATAATTTAGTTCCAAAAATTGACGATTACTTCATTTAGACATTATTTAGTTATGTAAAAGGCCTACATGAGATAAAATCGCTAAATATTTTTAAAGTGATAATAGAATGACTAAATTGGATAAATTCACATATACCTTGTTTACTTTAGCATCAGATTTTACGTAAACTTAAAAAACAATGTTTCTCAAACATTTTCCATTTTCTGGTGAGGGACCTATTTATATAGAACCCATTTTATGGTGTGTTTACATACAATCTTATGCTAAAATGAAGAAAGTGTAGTAATTAATTAAACATAGATTAACTGGATTTTATAACCATAATTTGTTACGGGAACTGAGACTAGGTTTAGGTCGACTATGGCACATTCTATCGAAGGTTGGACTAACGTGTTTTTCTATTAATGAATATTAAAATGAAATAAAAAAAAACTTAAACAAAATTAACTATACATTTTTGTCAATATCAGGATAAAATAATTTAAGATTACGACGTTTTACTAGTAATGTTGTTTTATGACATCGCACTCAGCGTATAATAAGTTTGACTTTTAGATGAACTTGTAGATCTAACGTTAAATTTATAGCTTTTGAAATCTAAACAGACTTTGACTGCAACATGTTCATTATTTTAAAAATAAGTTTGTATTATAGACAATAATAACTTTGTCCTTACCATGCGATGGTTTTTGTGCCAGCTCTATATACTGTACAGGGTGATTCCTATTGGGTGCGCACTAAACATGGGTACTTAAATTGAGAGTAAAAGAGATGGATATTGATTACTGTGTTTTAATAATATCTTAACCAACTTCATTAATTCGTCAATTTGTTTAGCATTAACTCTGTTTTAGATTACTGCTAAACATTTAAATTTAAAATTAATATACTAGTATTAGTCAATTATTATTACGAGATATCTATTGTTGAAAATTTAAGATTAATATAAAATGGTTTCGGTATAAAAGCAACAAATTATATTTCAATTCATCATTATCATTATCATAAACCCATTAAAAGTCCCTTATAGGTTGCTACAAAGTACGGTCCTTAGCTACCTGCATCCATCAACTACCTGTATATTTCATCATCTCTTCACTCCATCTAGTGGGGGTCGCCCAACGCTGCGCTTACCAGCATAATGATTTCTGTTGAGAACCTTTGTGTGTTTTTCGAGCTGTAAGGCCGACCCATTCCCACTGTAGCCTATAGAATATAGCCCTCTCCGTCTCTCGCCGACTAAGTTATCACTGGCCACACAAACAGGTGTACGCTTTTGCCTTAAGGGGAAATATAATGTCAAATGGCTTAGCAAGATCCTTCGTTATGCCGAAAATATTGCAGCATTAATTTTGAAATAAATATATGGTAAAGTTGAGGATTAATGTTAGTGATTATGTTAGACGAAAACACGATTTCGTAAAATTTTCTCGATAGAAAAAAAATCCAAATTTACCTCCAAAATAAACAATAAACCGCTGTTATTCATAAAATACTTTAAATAAGATCATGAAACTTTGAATACTAACTGAACTAACTATAAAGCAGTGCTTATGTTATTTACTTTTTTTAAAATACCATTATTTTCACTGTAAAAAAGAAATTACCTAAACTATCGACGTCTTGAGCTTGATTCCTGTCGCCCGTTAGTATCGCTTAGGCTTTTGAAGGGAGAAGTTGTGTCGCTTACGATCAGAATATACATTACGCAACAGTACGACGTAAAATTAAAATGGGAAATAACCGTGATAAAAATAAGAAGCGGCTGGCTTGGCGTTAAGAAACAGGCATAAATATGATAAACCTAATGAAATAAGTGTCTAACGACCTTTCTACTTACAGTATTAGTGATTACAAACATATCGGTACATAGCATACGACGCGCGGGGAAGTGGGGGCGAAATTAGAATTTGAGCTGACTTACTCTATCCTCTTAAGGCTCTGAGGTATATCAGGCAAAAAAAAATTAGAGAAAAAAAAAGAAGATTTCTTGTAATTTCCTAAATGTAATCCCACCGAGTTTGGTTCGTCGATTGAGCTCTTGGTCTTAAATAATCGGACATCATGTCCCAGGTACAGGCCCACATATACTCGTGTACCTTGGATCTTAGTGTTCCCATCAACTATCGGTATGGGTAACATGGAGTTTAGACATTTTTGTCTTGGCCACATAATATCGTTACACTTTCTATTATTTATATAAAGTTGCAAACTATATTGACATAAAGGTAATTGGCTACATACATGAACTACCTCTACTAGTTGCACATACACATTTTACATACGCGAGTTACTCGTTCGTTTCGTACGCGGTGCAAATAGATGGAACTAGTAAAAGCACGTGTTAAATACATGTAGTTGCACTTGTTATATTACAGCAGTGATCATATAAATATTTTTAGTCGTGCGAGGACTTCATCCAATAATTTTAAGCCTGCATTACTTATACATATTAAATATAGTCATACATGTAGATTGTTGAATGTAAACATGACAGATATATATAAAATACCCTCCAAACGATTATATACATATTATTTACTTTATTAATTAATATTATCCTCTTGAATAATTGTAGTATAATATATATAAAATTCATTCTCACAATTTTGTATTATTATTTAACATCGCTATCCTTTTCCTTTCTTTTGTAAAACTTTTTTTCAACTATCACCATTTTGCTGTAGTCTTAATAT